GTGTAAGAGAGACATCTATCTGTCTGCTCTGACAAACTAGCTCTGTCACTGCACTGGGCTGGCCTGGCTTTGTGCTGCTTGGATCAAATTGATGAGGCAATCACATGAGGGGCTGTGTGGTCATGTGTGTTTTTAGCCTTGTGATTGGGCATGGTCAAAGGAGGCTGTTAGTACTTGGTTTGAGCTGAGAAAAAGTAGGGTTTGATTCTTATCTTTGACCTGAGAATGGGGTTGTCCAGTGTGAGCTAACCTTTAGCTTTGACTGCATTTACAACTGGACAATATATATAGCCATGTGTTGTCAATGCACATGTGGGAGTTTTTTCAGCCTTGTAAGTGATTCCATTGTCCTCCTTTTTTTTCATTCACGCTGTATAATAGATTACCGTTTCTATATGACAATGTAATGCATAAGGCACAATAAAATGAACTTTAAATTAACTTTTTTAGACAACTAATCACTTACGTAATTCACTCAGTTCTGTTGTGGCAGGTCGAAAATGTGCAGTTCTTACACTTTGACAAGAGTTGTTTGATTAGAGTTGTTTCCAGATCAACTCACATTGACCTGCACATTGAAATGCATGTGGGTAAAGTTGGCAGGATATCATACTGTACACTGGGTGAAACATGAGAGGAGAAAGTGGTTTCACAGAGCAGCAGGGGGGTGGCCAGTACGAGGCATGCTGCTTAATTATCCCAGCTGTTTTCAGCATGATTTGAGCAAATGAAAATATTCTTAATCTATATTTTAAAAGTAAAGGTCTTTGATTTGAACTTGTTATATAATTTAATACTTTCCAAAATGCTGACATGGTTCTTTAAATGTGACTTATGTGAAAATATAAGAAAAAATTAGACTTCCCTTGGTACTGCTGACAGGTCCTTCAATGGTGATTTTAAATTGAATCGATTCTCAAAAGTGGCCATCCAAAGCAGTTTGAGTAACACAGTATGAAAAAGCTCATTTTGTTTTATAGAATTAGTCTCTCTTGACCAGGGACAAATTTGGTACAGTTAACATTATGCCTGTTGTGACAGCTACATTCAAATATACACTAAAAACAATTGAGCTTTCTCTAGTCTAAACACCACTAACATTGAGGCTTCAGGATAAAACTGTAGTTTATGTGTTAATATTTGTTTTCTAATAGTAAAACTTTGCCACGCATCTGCCACAAACTTCCTTCTTTTCCCTAAATAGCTCAATCTGTTTGCAATTTGTGTATATACCAGAGTTTTTGCCATCCCCCTCAATAATTAAAGTCAGCCTTCCATAATCCCAGATGACGACATCCATTAAACGTCTTTACACTGCACTGCCTTTAACCACAACCGCAGCCTGAACCCGAGACGTAAAATCGCACTGGTTTGACACATTTCCTCCCAGTTTTGTTCCAGCGTAATTAGATTGTGGCTTTGTTTACCCTCACTGCTTCTCCTCTTGATTCTTCTTGTTAAACTTTTAGCTCTCTTGGAAGAACAGCGCCGTGAACTTTGAGGGTGTTTTGCGCAGCCCCCGGGGGTGTTGTAGATTTAACGCAGGTGCACAGTGCTCAGTTCTGGCACACTCGTTCGGGAGCTGGAGCGGGTGAGCGAGGAGGGGGGAGAGAGAGAGGGAAGGCTACATTTGCCAAGAAAGCATTAGTGCGGTGTATAGCCTGCAGTCACACACATACAGAGCAGCGGTCCTGTGTGTATTCAGGAAGGTATATCAGCGTAATTGCTATTAAAGTAGCCTAAAGAGACGCCTGTTGTACTCGTGTGTCTCTGAGTGTTTGTTAGGGTATACACATGTTCGCCATGTCCAGAATTAATTATGCTGATGAATGCAGAGCTGTCACTGTTAGACTGGCATAATGGTCGTTGTTCAATTTTACAAAATCAAAATTAAATAAGGCTATATTTATTATGCCATATGTTGTTGAATTATTACACCAGCTAAAGTAGTGCATTCACTTGCAAAATATAGAAAAGTATCAGCTGTGGTACAGTGTAGGCCAAACTAGTCGATGTTAAATTATGATTTGTACTTAAAGGCACTCTTATGATAGCAAAATGGGAAAGTGCTGAAGAGCTGGGGCTATAACAGGCATCTTAAACACATTAAAAAAATAACAAGTTTAATGATCTCAGCTGTCCAAGTTATAGTCTAGCATTGCACATACCAGTGTTGTTTCAATTTAAGGGTTTTATAAACACATGTATTTTTTTTGACCCTCAGTATGCAGTGTATGTTGGTAGTTATGCAAATACTTCAACTATCTTATATTCACCTTTGCTTTGTAAGTGCTCAACATATGTGAATTATATTTACACACATTCTTTTGGACTCAGTTTGTTGAAAGAGTAACTTAGTGCAGCTGTATGAGAAGCAGCAGTAACAATCCCTTCTATTCAGTTAATTGTAATCAATAGTAGTTTAGGTTTTTATCTTTTAATTGCATTTTTTATTCAACTTCTTAAACCATATACTTTTTCTAAGCAATCTAAACTGTTTCTGACCCTTGATACAGTATGTTAGTCGCCATACTTAAAATGCCAGCACACAGCCTAATCCTCATGCATTGTCTTTGAGGATGTCTTAACTGATGGCTGATTAGTAATTGTCCTTGTGTCCCCATTATCTCCTCTCTATAGTAGCTGTGTGTATTCAGACCTGGCTGGCCCACTTGTCTCTCCTAAGTGTTTACGTCTGGTCTGAACAACTCTGAAGGACTTCTCTTCTGTTTATTTTTATTGTTGGACTTCTCACACATTAGAAGCTTACATTCTGTCGTTGTAGTTTATCATCAACGTGGCACTTATTAAATATTGCATCAGAACCATTTACCTCTGTGTACAGTTTCTAATCACTTTTATTTATCATATCTGATAATATCAGTTATTTGAGTTATATTGCAAGCCTATTCATTTATGGCTGATTCTTATCACAGATCGCTGATTGCAGTTAGAAAAATCATTGCTATATAAACATGATTTACTTATACCCACAAAGATCAAAGATTTTGATTGGTCTGAGAGGTCTGTCTTGCTTCTTTGAATCCATTAGTAGCAATCATTAGCAACTACTGATTTTCTGTTAAAGCTTTTATAGATTTTAAGTATTATTTTAGTGAAGGTGGCATCACCCTGAGATCCTCAAATAAGTTAAATTAAGTTTAAGTCTCTGAATTTTAAGCTTTGGGTCATTTGTGTACAAGAGGCCCTGCCCATATGTCACACTCAGTGTTTTACAAAGCACATTTTAAAGCATTTTTAAAGCTATGTTATGAATTGTGAAAACTGTGGGTTTTGTGAAATGATCAAATTTGGATCAAGTAAGAGAAAAGTGAAATCACATTTACACCAGCCAAGGATTTATCTTACATGTGGCCACATTGGTTATGTTTGCAATTTCCATAATGTGAAGCCATAGTTGTCTTGTTATGGATGTTGTTATGTGGATTAATTATCAATTAAACTCATGATCCCACAAATCTGTAGTGGATTTGCAGAGCATCATGGGAAGTCAGCCCCATGGCAGCAAAGTAAATAAACAACTCTTTGTATGCAAACACTGTTTAGTATTCTCTGTGATCCATGTGTGCCTTTAACATGTTCATATTTAGTTGATATGAATGTCCATTTGAAACCAACTATGACCATCAGTCCTAAATTTGGATTTCATAGTATTACTACATAGTAGTTTCTCTCTTTTTCTCTTTTCTCCCCTTGCTTCTGTCCATTGAGTTTGCAATTGTTAAAAGGAGGTGGTGATTGTAAGGGTGAGTCAGGCAGTCAGCATGCCTCTGCAGGTGTCTGTCTCTCTCCACTCATATGCACTTAGTCTGTCTATAAAAAGCGACAGAAGCAGGAGAGGTGTGAACAACAAAGAGAATGCCCTGAGATATACAGGAGGCAGGACGCCTAAGAAATATGGAGAGAAGAAAGAAGAGTCTGCACAAATGGAAACACCTTAAGCAACGCATGGCAGCCTTTACTTCTGAGGCTATGGCTTATTGCTTAAGATTGGTCAGTCAGCATGTACAGCATAGTTGTACTTTAAACTATGTAGAAGAATGTAAATGGTGGTGCCTATAGGACCGACGGCCAAGCCCTTATAACTGTAACACGCATTCTTATTATCCTGCAGCACTATTTTCCCCTCTGCTGGTTCAGATCCAAACTTTGTTTAGTGATTCATTATATGACTACACCACTACCATTATTCAATGTGCAGCTTTAGGCCAAACTAAGAACATTATATTGACTTCCTTCATCCAGAGCAGTGAGAAATGAAATGAGCACTGATCCTACCATGTACCGCCTGAATAAATAGTAAAGATAGTGTGTGTTTTTATACGGAGAACAAAGGAGAAAATAAGCTTCTCAAACACGTTGTCCTTAACAACACATTTCATTCAAAGCACAAACTTTCCTTTTAAGCCCTGTAACCAATTTGATTTGGGAGCCTTGTTGTAGCATTTGATTTTCTGATGTCCTGAATAGACTGTTTTCCGCAGGCATTTGAATTGCATCCTGTATAGCCTTGTAATTTTTCCTTTTATTCAGCTTTCTCTATTTGTAAGGACCACCGCTGAATAGTGCTCACTATCTTCACTGCAAAGCACAAAACTCAAGTGGCACAAAACCTTGAAATTATAATTAAATGGTGAGCTGCACTAACAGAAAAAACGAGAAAGAAAGAGCAAAAGTTTGATTGAATTTGAGTCCTGATGAATTGGAATATAATGTATGGCTAAGACGTTTTGTTTTGAATGGAAACTTTTCAAAATGGTATTAATAAGTTGAACATAAATGCGCTCCTGTGTATTGACAACAGGTGTGAGCAGTCCTCTTTGTTCATACTCATGGTTTTTATAGCATATGGATAAGTATATTTTCTGACAGATGGCCACATATTTGAGCACACAGCCCTTTTTGATCTGTCCTTTGATAACTAATGTTTATGTTTTTGATATTTGTTCATAACAGTTCATAATGTACTCTTTCTACAGGTTGGTGAGAGGCAACATGTGCTGGTGACAGAGGAGTCATTTGATGCCCAGTTCTATGTTGCGCACAACAAATACTACGAGCAGGTAGGATTCACAACATATTCATTGCCTCAGATCTAACCAAATCACTCAACAGAATTCCTCCGTATTGAATACTTGGCAGCAGATATTGCGACTTAAATATTTGCCGTTCTGGGTATGCTTTCCTGACGGATGTTTTTTGACACTAGCGCGTGATTGGAATACCAAAATAGTTGTCTCGGATGGCGCTCCGCAGATAACATACAATGAAGGAGCTGTAAATTAATCTGCATGTGATAAATATTTTGAAGCCGATCCAAGTCATTCCTCATTTTCACACTTAGTGAATCAGATCAGACGCTTTGCTCTGCATGTCACAGGCGCACTCACAGCAGGTGTCAGGGCTTAAGCTTGTATTGAGTAAAGTAGGTTATCACACAAACCCCTATATACGCACATACACACAGCCCGCGGTGGTCATGAGAGCATTTTGGCGGCTGATAGCAGAAGTACTTTTTCCCACTGTAGTAACATTAAGGTCGGCCCTAAAGACATGAACATTCCATCCTACACATAGGCAGAGGCTCGCACACAGCTGCTCACCTACACACCACCATGGCTTCAAAGACCTGCTCTCAACCTGTGAAAATTCACTTTAAAACATCTTCAAATAAATCAATTTCCTACTGCTTTAACCATCATCAGAAACATGTTTGAAGTTATGCTTTTTATTAGCGGGCAGGGCAGGGGATGGTAATATTTTTTGCTCCCTTCTAGTTTGCTCTCCTCCTCCGCTCTCCTCCTCTCAGGACCTCCTTCTGCAGGCTATAAACTTGGTGTCACCCGGTGCATGCGTATGTGCACAGAGCATGCTGCTGCCTGTACGCCAGCTTGTAACCCTGAGACTGGACTCAAGAGGAGAGTTTAGTGCCATGTTTTATGCTGTCTTTTTGGACAAGCTTTAGGCATGTTCCTCTAAATCACAACTTGACAGGGGAAAACATGAAGCAAGTAATACAGTATGTTCGTGTGTAGTGTAGTCGTATATCCTTCCATCATTTTGTCAAGTACTGTATAGGACCAGTGACGTGCCTCTGCTGTAAATATAACTTTCATTCAACAGCATGAGCTAGCTGCACATCATTGTTTGGAATTTTTTAAGAATAATATGAAAATGTTAAGTATTTTAGTAAATAAATTTGCACTATGTAACTTTATTTAACCACCCGCTTTTCCCCTTGGAGAGTTATGGCTTTGCCTGAAATCTGTAATCTAGTATTACTGTAAATGTATGTATCTTGCATTTATCCAATCACGGGTGTCTCTACTTCTGACTGTGAGCGCCATTGCCTCTCCACAGATCTGACCTGTGGATCTGTAACTTAGCCTGATGGCATCACCTTCTTGTCTCCATAGAGATAAATTTAATGACATACTGTGCAATATTCCCGGCAAACCAAGACCTTCTACATGGAGTCAAGTAGGTAACTGGCTGCCCAACAGACAAATGTCATAGTGCATCTTTAATTTAATACAGTACAACTTGCAGTATTAGTTTCATTATACAAAGGACATATCATTTTTCACAATGTGGCAAATATCTTACAAACCAGTAGTAACCATTAACTTAACAGACAATTACAATATTAACTTGAAATTGGTGTGAGAGTTTATGAGGCTTAGCTTAGCTACAGTAGAGTGTCCTATACCAGAAGGTTACAGGTTTCATCCTGTCTGCATCTAATCACATAAATAGTGCAAGTGTCCTTGGGCAAGACACGGGTTTATGTGTCTGAAAGAGCAGAGGTGAATCGACTAATGTAATGTATAGAGTGCCTGCAAACGTAAGCTATTTTATTCACAAAAAAAATAAAATACTTACTAAACTAAGGGCTGCATTTTTTAATCACAGTGCATTTTGATAGTTTTACAGACTGACAGGAGAAGAAATCTGGCAAGACAAAGAAGAGTAAAAGTAAAAAAGGAACAAATTGTTTCAGTGCAGAGGAGTGGGTGGTTTGTGAAATTAAGTCAAGTTAGGAAAAAAATGAAAAAGTCAAAGGTCAGGAGAGAAGTGGAAGAGTAGCAGGATGGAACTGCTGGAGGAGGAGCTGGGAGAGAAGGGAGGGGAAGGAGGGCGATGCTACAAAAAGTGCTGGGTGAAGCAGAGAGGTGAGCAGGAACAAATGGCCTACTTTCACTTTTTCCACCATCACATAATATCTATCCTGACGGCTGTAATCGACGGCCGGCCCACCTGTGAGCGAGCGCGAGAGGGGCGTGCAAGGCAGGAAGAGGTGTTTCCAATGAATTCAGACAAGCTCTTTTATCATTTAATCAGCCTGTAATGGGCAATGAACAGCCCTCAGCTTCACATCCCAAAGACGTGCTTGTGCAGCGGCGCTCCGAAGCACTCTCGCCCAGTGGTCAGCAGGTGTGTTGATTAGGCAGCTGCGTAGCGTTGGCCGTGTTCTGACCATCTCCTCTCATGCTCTCATATTCTAAAGCCATTCTGACAGATTAGCACTGATCCAGGCTTATTTGCACCAGCACAGCGGTAACTCCAGCACACCGGGTCACTGGCCGTCCCCCTGCCCAGTCAGTAGCTTAGCCCTGCCGAGTTGTGTAATGGTTAGCCAGACCACCACACGATCTGAGTCAGCGTGCAGCCGCCACACTTAAGCACACTTGCTTTAGACTTAAAATCCCTCAGCATGCTCCAGGGTTAGTGCTCTGCTGCCAATCTTCCTCCCACTGCAGTGCTGCTTGGCCGTGGGGCCGACAAAAAGACCTTTTCAGGATCTTGGATAGATTTGCAGTAATTAGTCCCTTTATTCCTTCTTCTTATTTTGATTTATGTAGAGACTCAGTAAAAAGTGGAGTTGTGTAAATTGGTTTTAACTGTGATCATTTGCTATGTTTCTTTTATAATACAACTTCCATAATGGCTTATTGCTTGTATAACATAGATTGATGTTTGACTAATAGTTGCATCTATACAGTTTAGCAAATGCATCACAACATTTGGAGAAAAGTGTATCAGTCAGTTCTGATGGCTCTTGTTGTAAACTGACTCTGAGGACTTAATCAGGTTGTGAGTGTAGTCCGAATATGCTGTGTAAATATACAGAGCACACCGGCTCTCAGACATTTCAGATAAGTCTGTATGTAAATGTTGATTCTGAAGAAGCAACAGCAGAATCACAAGAGGAAATCAGCTCTTTGACTTTGCTCCACTTTTCTTTGCCGCATGGCGAGACAACTTTGTGGTGAGTTTGAAAGTTGTTTTCAGAAGAACAACATTTGCATATGATCTTTATTTACAGGCATAAGACGTTAGGAACAAATTCCATTTCACACTAAGCCGTAATTACAACTCTTTGTTTCCTTTTCTTTCCTGCTGTGATCAGACAAGATTTATAGTTGCCATGGTGAAATAATAAGACAAACCATCAAATCCCGCTGGTTTTATCTCACAGCTGTTGCCATACTTTTTGACCTTCAGGGCCTTCTCAAATGGAGCTAGAGACATTCAGCTCAGTGTTGTTGTTAGCAGACCGGGAGCGGCTAAATAACAATATGGGCCGCGCATTAGGGAGAGCTGTTTTCAGTGAAAGTTAATTGAAAATATAATTGACAGATGTGAGTAAGCATGGTTTGTAGAGCTGATTTGATGGCTGTGTTTGGACTGCATACAGAAGTTTAGTTCACTTATTCATAGTAAAATTAAACTAAATTAAACACATTTTGGTATTACCAATTTTCTCACTCGACTAAAATACTGCCGGCTCTACTCTGCTGCTTCAATGGCCATCATGCCTCTAATTAGCTCTCTTAAAATGTGCAGTGACACTCGTGGATGTGTTCCTCCCTGTGTGCAGGTGCTGGTGCCCAAAAGGTCAGAGTTCAAAGGGAAGATGATTGAGGTGGACATTTACGAAGCAGGAAAACACTTTCTGAAAGGCCGTCCGGTCGAGGACAGCAAACCTTTCACTCCGTCCATCGTGGAGCCACTTCAGAAGGGACAAGTCTCTGGTCTCTCACAGGTAATCACACATACTTGGGCTCTAAGTGTTTTCCATCAAATCAGCCAGTCGCATGATTAGCAAGAATATTAGTCATTTTTCTAGCCACATTTTCTCGAGTTTTAGTTGATTGCATTAGGTAAAAATGGCTTTTTATTCTCATTTCCATGTTTTTTATGTGTACAGTTCAGTTTGTTCACTAGCCTTACTCCGCCATTTCCCCTTTTTTCTTTCGTTTGAAATTTGACCAATGTTCTTCAAGGCAAAACTTTGCATTGATGGTTAAATTGTTTCCTCCGTGTTCTTTTTATATATAATTGTGTGTAGGCGCATTTTCCTGAGTTTTATGTCGGCGAGTGCATTTTGAGTGCACATCTGTCTATCAGGGCACATTTATTCCAGTGAATCGTTTCCAGATAAGGCGCAGACCTCCTCTCCATCTCTCAGGCTCTCACTGTCCTTATCAGAATTATAAAATACTTCTGTTTACACCCGGCTATTCTAATTTAGTGTGGTTAACAGATGAAAAGTGTGTGAGAGGTTGTGCGTCTCGCCACATTTTTAATCCCTGCTTGTTTCCGCTGCCTGTGAAAAACCAGCAGTGTATCAAGCATAAGATAAGTAATTTAAGATAAGCCGTGGCTGACTAAACTGCCCCAGTCTTCATCCCCGCCACACACATACACGTTTCTATGCGATTAGGGGGACAATAAATTGACTTCCAGGGGTTTCCAATAGTCTTATTCCTATTAAAGCAAAACTAATCTGCACTATTCCACACATTGAATACATATGCGTTACACAGTATATACTTGTGTTTGCCATATAGTGCCTATATAGTGTTTTTACATCCGCATAGTGATGATAGTAAATTTACTTCCATAGGTTTCCAATAGACTTGCTCCCATTAAAACAAAACTAATCCGCACTATTCTTTTGCATACTGAACACATATACATTACACAATATATATATAGTATTTTCCATATAGTGCCATGTAGTGGTTTTGCATCCTCATATTGTAAGTGATACGAGGCCATGCACACACAAACAGCGTGTTAATGTATCTGTTTGACTGCGTGTTATTTTTCACTCTGACTAGCTGTAGCTTATAGCTCAGGACATGGAGCCACAGAGCAGAATATGATACACTTTCTAATTTCACACTCCATCAGCCTTTACTGTCAGAGGAGAGGGAGCGAGGAGGGCGCACATAGACACGTACGTAAGCGGTAGGGACACTGGCGAAGGGAAAACCCGCACTAAGAAAAGAGGAAGGGATTGAGGAAAATAAGATAAAAAGAAGGGAAACATTTCACAGCAAGACAAGCAATATGTCACTTTGCAGACTAAAGTTCTACTGCCGTGTTCAAAAAGTAGTTGTGTCTGATTTATCGAGCCGTTTACTGGACTGTGCAAAAGTTTCAGATAGATGGTGACAGTTGCTTTGCCTTATAGCCTAGAAACTTTTATGAAATCATTAATATTATTCATCAACATGGTGAGATCTGAACCTGAGAAAATCTTCTGTTTTGATGAGATCATTATGTAAATTGTCACTTCTGTTTAATGGAGCTCTATAGTCAAACGCAAACACTTTCTCCACCCACTCCTCCTATTGATCTGCCTCTGTCATACTCTGAGTGAGTGACAAGTGGATTGAACCTATTAGTGATGTGTGAACTCTCTTCTGGCTTTAGTCACCTTATAATAACAAGGTACTAACTGCAGGAATCAAGATGAAATCAACATCATGATCTTGGGCTCGGCTCTACAAGATTGTGATTTTATATTCTGTACATCTAGATTACTTTTTCCATATTGCATAAATATAGCCAGGTAGAAAGTATATCCTATGAGCGTCTATTGATGTATATATTTCTTTAAAACATGCGCAGCAAAGCCATTAGCTACCACCTGCTGCTAGTAAACACTTGATTTGTGTTTCAGTGCGTTGCCATAGATTGAGTTAATTGTTATTTTTGTTACGGATTGCAGTGTTTTTTTTAATTTTTAAGTGGGCTTGCTATCTAATTTAATTCCTTGATGTACCCTGATTGCTTCTAAATGTATTAATGCAAGTCCCTGCACGCAAATACATATGTCCAATTAACATATTGTTAGATGAAGTGATCTCTAGCACTGCTGCAGAGCATGTGTAAATCCCCAAGTCCTTCTGACCCACATCGACAGGCCTCTAATAACAGCAGAGTGGCACTTGAGAAGAGCCCAGTGTTAATAGATGACCCAATGGCATGGAAACCCACTCTCTCTGCTGCTGTATACACTTGGCCTGCTTACACAAGAGCCCTCCGGAGCATAGGATGTCCTTGACAGATGTGCAACCCAGCTCTGTCTTTATGATAAGCATCCAGGCCTATGAAGAAGAAGTAGTGACGCTCACGAATGCCAACATCTCTCTTTAAGTATTCTCCTAGATATACAGTGGTAGAAATGCACACACATACACATACAAGAGACATGGGTGGTTGGCCTATACATATTTGAAGACCATCTATTTTCTATGAGGCTCTGCATGGGTCCACCTCACACTGAGCTCAATATGTGCGAGTGTGTGAGATGAATGAGTGATTAAGACCAGGCCGAAAGAGACTCACCCCCATGTTACAGCACAGAGGTCTATAATTACAGGCTTTTGGTGCGGAGAAAAACACAAGGCCTGAGCCATGAGAGGGGAGTCCATGTGAGGAGCAGCATGAGAAGTAGCCCGAGCTGTTGCATACAAGATTCAAAGGAAGTTGGAAAAACTATGGGGACATAGCGCTAAGCCTGTTGTGAGGGATGCACATTATGGGAGATAAGACAATCTCTTTGGAAAAGAAAACGCATTTTAAAAGGGTGAAGTGTGGTTGGTAGTCAAAAGTGTGAGTTGTAATAATCAGGAAGCATTATTGGTTATAATAGAAAAGTCTAGTAATACTGTATGTGTACCAAGGCATAAAGCAGAAAAAATGTGGAGATTACAAAAGATCTTAAAGAGCATGGATTATGAAATTACGTGTTTTTAAATTAATTATGTAAAAGTAATCGCTAGATAGAGAACAATTATGTAATCCCAATATATATTTAATGCTGAAGTAGGTTCTAGAAAGAATATCTTGAGTACTAAATTGGAAATGCTTGCGGCATCTTGTAAAAAAAACAAAAAAACAAACATGTACATTATATATATAAGTAAATAGGTTACACATTGACAGAACTCTTTTTTTTTTTTTTTTTTTTTTTTTTTTTTTTGGCGGCAAGACAACCCCTGAAAGACTTCCATAGTGAAAGGTCAAAGTTGGCTTACCCTTCCAAACCGTCAATATAGAGGCTCATGATAAGGGTGATAGAAGCCTGAGAATGTCTGTAATCCTTTTGTGTCAAGTCTAAATAGATTCATAGATTGAGAGATGCAATGCCACACATTTTCAAGTGTGTGTGAAAATGCAGACGTGGATCTGGACGGATAGATTTATAACATGCCGCAATGGCCTATATACCATAAGTGCTGCGTGTGAGTGCTGTCGATGGGTAGGCATGAAAATGTATGGTTGGATTATGATAAACTGATGTTGGACATGATGACTAAGATTTACACAGCTGGTAGATCAAATGAACATGGAGACATGATTAAGTCCAAAAGTAGAATGGTGTTTTTTCTATTGTGAAAAGCTATACATGTTGAGGGATGTGATTAAAAAAAAATGTGATATTGTGATTTTTTCTTCATATTGAACTATGAACTGGAAAAAAAAAAAAAAAGATTTGAGCGCATTAACGAACAAACAGAATAGTCAAATTTCTTCTTTCCCTTTCTTTCCTCTGCTTCAAAACACATGCTTTTACTGGCTGTGGACCTCTTGATTAAAAAGACCCAAGTAAATCATTAACAAATGGAAATGACAGAATCTTGATTAGAATAAAAAAAAAATTAAAAAAAATTGAACAGCCCTATTTGGAGTACCAAAATGAGTGTATAAAATGAGTTTATGATGGAAATAATTGGTTTGATTTGAGACATTGCCACCAAAGCGAGTCTAGGATGGACTCTGAACTATAATTCTGGCACATTTCACTCCACTATGGCCACTATACCACTATGACATTTATTTTTATCATTGATTTCTTTTTGATTGCTGTTATTTTCCATTTTGTTCTCCCACATTTTTCTTCCCTAGAATGACATGTTGATTGAAATACTTGTTTTTGCCATTTTCAAACAAGACCAAGGTTTTTAGAGAGCGTGCATAGAGACATTTTTTGCTTGTATTGACATCTCCTATTTTTTGGCTCCTTGCTTTCTCTCTCACTGCTCCTCACCCGCGTGCCCTTCATTTACAGAAATGCCACTTTCCTCAGAGGGAGGGAAGGCCAGTAATGAGTCTTTTTAGCGCCACACAAAAGCCCAGAAAGCACTCAGCAGCACGGGTAAAGGGAAAAGTAACTTCACCAGTACCTCTCTCCTCAGATGAAATTAAATGATAGAAGAGAAGGGGCTCTGTAAGAAAAAAAAAAGATAGGAAGGTAGAAGGCAGGGGGAGATCATGAGACAAAAAGAAATCTTGAGTGTCATTCAATAATCAGCTCTTTTCACAGCATACTTTCTCTAAGAGACGGGGAGTATACGCCTCAGCTGCTCAACAAATTGACAGTTGGTGTAAAAGACAGAATAACAGGTAGAGAAGCTATACATGTGAGAAATGGTAATGAACAATGTCCCCACATGACTGTAGATTTACTGAATAGCGAAGCGACTTTACACTAGAGCTGTTATATGTGAAAAAACATGAACTCATTGAATATTTAAAAAAAAAAGATATGTGCCACAATCTGCTCATGGCAACATTGTGACAAAATTCAAGCATATATTATTTCAGACATTGCAATCGAAAGAGGGCAAAGCAGGGCAAATAAAAGATTATTAAGAAAGAGAAATTAATTACAGCGTTAAATCTGAATCACTGCTGTTTTCAAGTTTTGTTTTTTGTGATATAGAAATTTGCGTCTTTGATCTAGCA